AAAAAAAAAAAAAAAAAAACCTCATGAAATAAAAGAGGGGGGGGGGGAGGACAAGGGAAGGCAGTTTTTTCAAAGAGAGAGAATTAAATTAAAAAATTACCACCTTCATCCGAAAGGCACTTCCTAAAGTAGTATAAACATGCCCTAACATCGTCCCTTTCTGCTGTGTCTTCATGATGTTGCACTTGTCTGATCCCCAGCCTGTATCTGAGGCAGCCATGGGCCTTTCTTAGCTGTACCAGTGTTAAAGTAATCTTCTCCTTTTCATCCTGACAGATTTCTGGGATGGATATAATCTGTCAGGTTTTAACGACCCTTCTGTTGGTTGCAGAGTCTTATGATGCTTTGGAAGTAGGATTGTTCTAGCTCACACTGCCCACTTTAGGGTGGTGGAGAGACAACCTCTCCATTCTCTGCCCTGGGCACTGTCCTCCAGGGTAGAACCATTTGATGGACAGGGAGGTGGCTAACCATTCCTCTGATCATGGAGGAAAGTGTAATGTTCCAAGCTAGTAATATTTTGCCAACCATTATCCACTTTCTCAGGCTCTGAGAAGCCCATCGTAGGGAAGGAAATTGCACACTGGAAACCACTTCTAGAAGACTTTTGATCTTCTGAACATTTTGGTGACAGGATGAGATAAATCACCTCTAGTTCAATTAAAATTATAAAACTTCTGGCATATTTTTACCACTGTTTACCAGGCACTATTGGAGACTGGAAGAACACACTGACTGTTGCACAGAATGAAAGGTTTGACAGCGTCTTTAAGGAGAGGTTGGAGAAGCTGCCCTTCACGTTCTGCTGGGAGATTCATGAGGATTCTGAGCCTACTTCCAGCTCAGTGGAGGAAAACAATATGTGATAGAAACCTTCACATTATTTGAAGCAGAGTTGACCTTCCAAGAACAGTCTTTGTATAACCTAGTAATGTTTAATTCTCAACCCTGCAGAGATCATAGAAAAAAGCGACATTAAATTCTGTGCTATTATTAACAGTCTTTGTATAACCTAGTAATGTTTAATTCTCAACCCTGCAGAGATCATAGAAAAAAGCGACATTAAATTCTGTGCTATTATTTCTGAGCCTACTTCCAGCTCAGTGGAGGAAAACAATATGTGATAGAAACCTTCACATTATTTGAAGCAGAGTTGACCTTCCAAGAACAGTCTTTGTATAACCTAGTAATGTTTAATTCTCAACCCTGCAGAGATCATAGAAAAAAGCGACATTAAATTCTGTGCTATTATTTCTGAGCCTACTTCCAGCTCAGTGGAGGAAAACAATATGTGATAGAAACCTTCACATTATTTGAAGCAGAGTTGACCTTCCAAGAACAGTCTTTGTATAACCTAGTAATGTTTAATTCTCAACCCTGCAGAGATCATAGAAAAAAGCGACATTAAATTCTGTGCTATTATTTCTGAGCCTACTTCCAGCTCAGTGGAGGAAAACAATATGTGATAGAAACCTTCACATTATTTGAAGCAGAGTTGACCTTCCAAGAACAGTCTTTGTATAACCTAGTAATGTTTAATTCTCAACCCTGCAGAGATCATAGAAAAAAGCGACATTAAATTCTGTGCTATTATTTCTGAGCCTACTTCCAGCTCAGTGGAGGAAAACAATATGTGATAGAAACCTTCACATTATTTGAAGCAGAGTTGACCTTCCAAGAACAGTCTTTGTATAACCTAGTAATGTTTAATTCTCAACCCTGCAGAGATCATAGAAAAAAGCGACATTAAATTCTGTGCTATTATTTCTGAGCCTACTTCCAGCTCAGTGGAGGAAAACAATATGTGATAGAAACCTTCACATTATTTGAAGCAGAGTTGACCTTCCAAGAACAGTCTTTGTATAACCTAGTAATGTTTAATTCTCAACCCTGCAGAGATCATAGAAAAAAGCGACATTAAATTCTGTGCTATTATTTCTGAGCCTACTTCCAGCTCAGTGGAGGAAAACAATATGTGATAGAAACCTTCACATTATTTGAAGCAGAGTTGACCTTCCAAGAACAGTCTTTGTATAACCTAGTAATGTTTAATTCTCAACCCTGCAGAGATCATAGAAAAAAGCGACATTAAATTCTGTGCTATTATTTCTGAGCCTACTTCCAGCTCAGTGGAGGAAAACAATATGTGATAGAAACCTTCACATTATTTGAAGCAGAGTTGACCTTCCAAGAACAGTCTTTGTATAACCTAGTAATGTTTAATTCTCAACCCTGCAGAGATCATAGAAAAAAGCGACATTAAATTCTGTGCTATTATTTCTGAGCCTACTTCCAGCTCAGTGGAGGAAAACAATATGTGATAGAAACCTTCACATTATTTGAAGCAGAGTTGACCTTCCAAGAACAGTCTTTGTATAACCTAGTAATGTTTAATTCTCAACCCTGCAGAGATCATAGAAAAAAGCGACATTAAATTCTGTGCTATTATTTCTTACTTCCCCTTCCATCTCCCATCTCCCATCCAGGGGACAGTGAGCAGCACTACCCCAGACAATCCTCATCTCACAACACCTCACCCTGAAGTCTATTCTCAACAGGTCCTGAGTTCTTTATCCAAATCATTGGAAAGTGAAGTCAAAACCTCAGACAAACTGATGAATGGCAGATCCAGTCCTTGAACGAGTAACTTTGGTGACCACAGGTTCCATTATGACATTCTACAATAATATCTTTATCCCTGTTATGACATTCTACAATAATATCTTTATCCCTGTTATGACATTCTACAATAATATCTTTATCCCTGGTTATATTATAATATTATATGGTATTTTTAGTAAACCAGTGACTATTTATAAGTGTAATATATAAGGTAGACCTTTCTTGATTGTCTGGTAACCCCCCCCCCCTTTCCTTTTCTCTGGTTGTTTATGACTTTTAAGCTCAAGGATTGTTATTGTAGGGTATTTTGGTATTTTGGCTTTATTTTGGACTCTCCTAAAATGAATAATTAATGAAAAAAATAGAGAAGAAGAAAGAAATCCAAGTAACCTAGAGAACAAGCAAACTGAAAACCCACAATAATGCACAAGTGACACTGAGAGAGAGGTTCTTAAAGGACAAAAGGCACGGTCAGATGTGGTCTCCCATTGGAGAATAAAATTCCATGCCTTCACCTGGCGTCAAAAGGCAGATGGATAATGGTGAGATTGGTCTGGCCTCCTGGGGAAGGAAGGTCATTCCAGACCAAGGTCCCACCACAGTGAAGGGCCTTTCCTACATTCTCACATAACCCGCTTCTCCCAGCCATGGGACTCTGAGTCTCACTTCCCCTTACAGATCCTGCCTTTGGGTCAGGGTCAATTGCAGAAGTGCACTCTCCAATACAAAATCTTAGACATTAAGCATTTTAAATAGGTTGCAACACCAGTGATAGCCAGTGGGGTTCCTTGGGATAAGTCTTATGTGTGTTGTCTCAAGGGTCTTCTGGAAAACAGCGTTGCTGCCATGTTTTGCATTTTCTGAATCATCCTCAGGGGAAACCCATGTAACAAACACTCCTGTACTTCTCATGGGTGGTTTTCAGAACGTGGAATGGTGTAGCCCAGCCACCCAGATGTTGTAGTGGCTAAGATGCTGGAGAAGAAACCGGAAGGCCATGAGTTCTAGTCCTTTTAGGAGTGAAAGTAAGGGATTTCCCATCCAAATCCTAACCAGAAATGATCCTGCTTAGCTTCTGAATCTAGAGAAGTGCGACCAGCATTTGTCTAGTTGTTTTGCTGCAGCAATAAGAATACTTACGCAACCACTGTGTCTGAACTGGTTTGCTCCAAAGGCAAACAAAAATTGCAGTACGAGCAAAGTAATTGCCAGCATGCGTTGGAAGAAGTGATCAATTGCCAACTCCTGCACAACATGGAAGAATGATAAAATTCCAAGTTTCAGAGTTATTAACTAGAGCTATAGAACTTGGCTCTATCTGCAGAAAACACCTAATTGTACTTTTCTCTGAAATTCTTACTATCATTTGTATTTTGATTCCCCAAATGTGGACAAATGAACTAGATTTTTGACATTTGATGTCCAGGCTACTTCCTACGCAACCTTATCATGTTTTACACTTTGCCAAGTCCCAGCACGGATTTTCTTAGGTGGCTAAGGGCTTTCCTCCATTGCCTTGAGTCAGTAGTAGACTATCCTGGTATCAGACTTGCTGCCCTCATTGCTGATGCCTCTCTGCATCTATTGCCTCTGTTTTGCCTTGTCACTGAATGGTTATTTCCAGAGTGCCTGAAGCAGAATTTTGACCAAATCCTCTGGTTTTGCTGCCCTTCTCCTTTCAGAACACCACCAGCGGGTCAAGGCAAGGATGCCCGACGGAGCTTGGGGAGGTGGTGAGTTGACAGGTGGCTGCCCTGCCTTTCATTCTCCACCATGAACAAGAAAGTGGGACAGAATACCTGTCTGAACACGCCTCCTTTGCTGAACATCTGTTGGTGAGCTTGCAGAGGCAATGAGTTTGGCAGGTGTGGTTTCCTGTTTCACTACAGACAGCAATGTATTTGCCAACTGCCCAGGTTGCTCCGTAGGCTTCTTTGGAGCAGGGTCCGGCACTCTCTTATGCCTGCCCACCCACAAGCTGTGTGATGGGGCAAGAACTTCATGGGTTTTGAGAGAGTCTGGCTCCCCCATTGTCCTGTCCCAGCCCATGGAAGTCACAGCCACACAGCTAAATCTGATATCTTTACTAAAGGGTTTTCAAACAGGACGATAAGAGCAAAATGGTTTGAGCAAGCAATCGTAGTCCCTCATGCCCCAAGTGCCTAGCCCACCAAAACTCAACCAGCTTAGATTAGAGGCAAGAGAGAGTTCAATTCGTAACCGAGGTACTAGGGGGTCAAAAAAACATGGTATGAAGGTCCAAGGTCACTACTTGAGAAGGCAGGCCAAGGAGTTGAGGAATACAGTGGTGAGGTAAATGGAGAGTTGTTGCTAGTGGATCTGTGAGGCAGGCAACCCCCCTCATATGTAGGGGCGCCATGATCCGGATTTGTTTCTTTCATGGGGTTTGTTCTTTCTGGCCAATAGTCTTGCCGAGCGCCTTTCTTCAATGTTATTGGATTCTCAAGAATGCTCAAGGTCGTACCAACCGGCAATGGGGAAGAGGACTGTGGAAGCTAGGATAGGAGGCAAAAGGGGTGCAACAGAAATGGGTAAAAGTAACTTTTTGGCACGTGCGGGTTAGTCTTGGCAATGCTTTGGACCTGTATACTACTTCTCAATAAATGAACTTTTCTTTGAACCATATCAGTTTCACGGAGAGTTTCTGTCATCGGGAGTCTAGAGTGGCAGATTGTTACACCATGATAGATTGGAGCCTGTTAGATGATTGTATGAGAGTTAACTGGTGCATTCTGTGCATGCTTTGCCACCATTCTTTTTTCTTCTTTTCTTGTTTTCCTGCTTTTATCTTTTTTTCATTTTAACTTAAATTGTGGTTTTGAACAGTTTTTATGTATTTTGTTTAAATATGTATGCTGCTGAGAGTCACTATGTGAGATGGGCGGCTATACAAACATGACTATAAAGCTAGTGTTAGCACTCATTGTTGGTGCTTCTTGTCTGGACTACCTCGAAGGGCTGACAATATCCAACTGTCTGTTTTTTTATAATTCAAAAACCTTCTTTCACCATCATTTTTGGCACAACAGAACTCTAATATGGATTTGTTTTCTTCCACAGCTTCTTCCATATGTTATCCCACCAAGCACTGTTTTCGCATTCCCACATCCAGACACACAACATTTCATTCATGGTTTTTAACAATTTTCTGTATTCCATGGTTGTCGCCAGATGGGCCCCTTAGATATAGATCTTTAAATCCCTATCATGGGTTTGCTCCATCAAGTCTTTCAAAGAATGCTTTTTAATAAGTTAGAGAAGATTATCTCTTTCTCTGTCTTTCTTGTTAATTAGGTTATTGCTCAATCATGTTCCACCTCTCCTTTAACTCTTTTTTGAAATGTACAAGCACTGCTAACACAGTGATGGACCAAAGATTAGCGTTCCTTAAATATTTGAACATGTACAGGAATACAAATGATTGAGAAAGCACTGTAAAAAAGTTGGCTTATAGACCAGATGTGACCGACTGTCCAAGACAAGACAAGACAAGTCTTGCAACTAGTATGTTCTTAATATTGTAATTAAACTTTCTTTTGTGAAGAGAACTATTAGATGCTAAGAACAACAGCAAATTTACTCTTCGCAATGGGAAATTTCATGGGCGATAATAGAGTTGACGAAACTAAGTAACTGGTTAATTAGATGAATGATATATGTCGTTTTTTCTTAATGTTGCCAGGAAGCATGATTTGTAAAGAATTGAATTAAAGAATATTGACCATCAATGTAGGGACGATTGCCAATTGCTCTATAATTATACCAGCAGGTCAAGCAATGGAGACACCAGATAAATACCTGCATAAATACAAAGGATTCTATTTCATAAGAGATCTGGTCTCATCTGAAACTATAGATTCACTGGACAGTTTTGAAGTCTGAGATGATGATGTGTTCATAATCACATATCCTAAATCAGGTGAGTTCAAAGATGTTTTCCGACAGAGTTACTGTTTTATCCAATGCTGTCATTCAAGTCTTCAGTATTTTGGTTGCTGCAACTGTGCTGTGCTCTAACAAGATTTTAACGTTTGGCATTTCATTAGAAGCTGGAAATATAGGTAGAATAACGGTGGTATATCTGCATTTTGACCATTTTTCTTTTACTTTTCAGAGCTAATTTTCTCTCCAGAATCAACTTCCTAAAGTCATTTCCTTGGAATAAGATATGCTAATAATTAGGGTACATACAACCATCAGCTTAATCTAAACTTCTTAGAAGAATCTACTCTTTTTATGTTTCTCTGAAATGTTTACTATCCTTCCTGATAGGAAGGTTTGCTTTGCATAAGTTCAACATTCTCCAAATAACAATGGAACCGGGTGAATTAATTT